ACCAAAAGGGGTTTAGGGGTTGACTAGGGTTTACCCTAAACCCTAAACCCTAAGCCCTGAGCCCTGAGCCCTGAGCCCTAAGCCCTAAACCCTAAACCCTAAATCCAAAGCCCAGCAGGTGTTCGTGTCTGGCTTGACGCTGCGGTGGCGCCCTCAGGGCACTTCCCGGGCTTCAGGGCTTAGGGCTCAGGGTTTAGGATTTTGAGGCTTTAGGGTTTTCTGGTTTTGAGGTCTAGGGTTATGAGGTTTAGCGCTTACAGGTTTAGTTTTGGAGCTTTAGGGTTTTGAGGTTTTGAGGCTGTAGGGTTTTGAGGTGTTGAGGCGTTAGGGATTTGAGGTTTTGAGGCGTTTAGGGTTTTGAGGTTTGGGGTTTAGATTTCGAGGTTTTGAGGTTTGAGAGTGGTACCCCCATTCTGGATTTCATGTATTTGAGGAAGTAAAGGCGGTTAAAGTCAGTTGGCCAAGGAAGGTACACTTTTGCTTCCTAGGTCCTAAGCCCTCAACCCTCAACCCTCAACCCTCAACACTCAACCCCACGTACTACCGCAGTTAGAACTACCCATGAACCCCCACTTGTATGATAGGGTTCTTAAGAGAGGGATGTTCATGGGTTGGTACCTAGGGAACCTTTGAGAAGCTTAGGAAGCCTTAGGGAATCGTGGGGAGGGAACCTTGTGCATACCCCCCCCCCCCCCCCCACCGAATTTCCCCTCCCCCCTCCCTTAAGAAACCCCAAACCCCAAACCCTGAGCCCGGAACCCTGAACCCTAAACCCTAAACCCTAAACCCCTAAACCCTAAACCCCTAAACCCTTCAGCCCTATACTTGTAGGCTTTTGGTATTCAGGGTTGAGGGTGCCTTGGCCAGAACATCAAGAACAAGGAGCCTGAGACCTGTCAGGTCAGGCCGGAAGCCTGCCCCAAGGGTAGAAGCGCCCTGATGCGGTTTAGGGTTTAGGGTTTAGGGTTTCAGGTGTGGGGTTTAGGGTTGAGGGTTTAGGATCAGTGGGGGACTCTCACTTCTTGGGTTCATACCCTCTCATCTCAGGAGCCCTTGCTGACCCAGGGAAGTAGCTACGCCTCGATGAGTCATGGGTGTTGGGTGTCAGTGTTGAGGGTTTACTGGTTCTTGAAGGTTCATGGGTAGTTACAAGTAGGGTTATGAGTACCCAAAATAAGGTCACAACCAGATATATTTGTAGTTACCTTACCAATAACCCCACTTATATCCGCCCATGAACCTTCAGAGTGGCCCAGGGCAACCAGCACGCACCTGCGGTCGGCGCTGGCTCCATGCGGACACATCTTGAGCGCATTCATCATCTGGGATCGCGGCTTGGATGCGAGTACCTCCCTACTTGGAGGTTCATGGGTGGTTATACGTGGGGGTATTAGTAAGGTAACTTTAAATATGTCTGGTTATAACCTTATCTAGGGTACTCATAACCCTACTTGTAACTACCCTTGAACCTTCAAGTAAGGCCGAAGCCCCACAACCGTAAGACCCCAAATTCTAAACCCTGAAAACAGACTCCTTTGGTTTGTAGGGAGGGATCCTGAACCCCAAGCCCTAACCCTAAACCCTAAACCCTATTTGGGTCCAGGGCTCCTAAGGCGAAGGGCTGAAAGCCCCGCTGAGCTCTGCCACAACCCTAAGAAGCGATGAGGGTTCGGGGTGCCCTGCGGAAAGAAGCAGAGCCCTAAACCCCAAGCCCTAAACCTTAAACCATAAACCCTCAGAGCAAGAACTCCCCCATCCACCTGCACCTGCAAAGGAAAGGTGACACAGGAGGCTTCAATAATTGCCAAGATCAGAATCCCCTTTTGGCCCCTGTATAGAATTACAGGGATAGCATGCCCAAGGTATCCTAAAACCGAAACCCTAAATCCGAAACCCTCAACCCTAAACCCTAAACTCTAAACCCTCGATTTCAAGCCCCGGGGTGTGCTGTCGCCAGAAATTGCTTGAGGACGGCTGAACCAGTCCAAGTGCTGCGGCATCGTGCGCTTTCAGCCTCCAGGGCAGCACCGAGAGACCCTCAACCCTAAACGCTGAACCCTAAACCCCTTTGGCATGCCTTTTGCCTTCAACCCTCAACCCCTGCAGCTTTGCGTTTTCAAGGGGTCTAAAACCCTGCGCCCTCCATCACTAGTTTGGCCCGTCCTCTTGTGGACCCTCCGGTGCAGACAAATGTTGCCTGCTCCAAGCTCTGAACCCTCATCCCACATGCTAAAATCCTCGAAACCCCAAATCCTACTAGTAACTACAACCTAAGCGCCAAGCCCCAAAACCTCCTGAAGGCGCACAAGCCCTAAGGCCCAACTTGTTCCAGGAGCCCCCAGGTCCTAGCCGTACCCCAGGATTTAGGGTTTAGGGTTGTAAGTCGTAAGCCCTGCAGCCTACGAAGCTCTAAGCGTTCAACCCGCAAGCCCTACGCCCCTCGGACCGGGCGCAAGGCATCGTCAGTCGGTTTGGGAAGCAGTGGAGCGCGGCCAGCAGGGTGAGGTCCAGGCGGGCGTTTGAAATGCCAGAGAGCGCGATATACTTAAGCCCTAAACCCTAAGCCCTAAACCCTAAAGCTCTAGACCAAAAACCCGCACCCTAAATCCTCAACCTTGAAGCCTAAGCCCTAAACCCTCAGATCAATCACCAAGGACTGGCTCAGGGTGGGGGACCCCAAGGCCTCTCTATAGGGTTTAGGATTTAGGGATTAGGGTTGTAGAACCGAAGGCCAAGCACAGAAAGCGACCGCGCACCTCAAATCGGGTCTAGCATGTATGGTTTGGGGTTTTTAAAGGTTTCTTTTTCAAGGGAAATCCCGAGACACACATTTTCAACGGCCTGAAACACCCTAACATCGTCGTCACAAGGAATCCAAGTCCACGTGTCTAGCGGAACCTCAGGAAGCCACGGCCCACAAAGCAAAACTAGCCAATACCTGTCCCCACCCCAAACCCTAGGCCCCAAGCCACTAACTCCAAAGCCCTAAGCCCACGCCCAACCCTAAACCCTAACCCCTTCCGCAGGTTGCTGGCAAGGTGGCGAAAGTGAAGCCCCGCGGCCGCAAGCACACCTTTGTCAGGACCAAGCTCCTGTTGGTTTAGGGTTTACGTGGATTCAGTTTTTATCGGATGAGGGTTTGTGAGAGGTTCAAATGGCCAATGGGATATTTTTTCGCAGGTTTTTGCTAGATACAACCTTGGGAGGAGGGTTGTTGTTTCCTGATCGGGTTTAAGAGAACCCCATGTAGGAAACAATCTCCGCGCCAGCTCAAACCATCTATCATCCACCGATACCTGAAGGTTCATGGGGTAGTTCTATGTATGTCAAACCCTCAACCCTGAACCCCAAACCCCAAACCCCAAACCCTAAACCCTAAACCCTAAACCCTAAACCCTAAACCCTAAACCCTAAACCCTAAACCCTTAGGCCCCTCCGCAGAACTGCAGCCGACGCCTCGAAGTACCGGCTTGTCCAAGATGCACTTCGCCACAGAGCGAAGCGTTCGGAACCCGACCCCTGGCCGCGCCCTAAACCCTAAACCCAAAACCCTAAAACCCTAAAACCCGAACACCCTAAAGCCCTAAAACCCCAATGGCAAGCCGAGTTTCGCAAAGCCGCGGGGGTGGAGGCGGCGGCGACCGATGGAGGTGGCCACGAGGGTTGTAGAGAACCCTAAACCCAAAAGGCCCTGAACCCTAAACCCGAATTGCTCCGTAAAGACCCTAAACCCTACTCCGTAAAGGCCCTAAACCTTAAACCATGAAGTTATACATATATATATATATATATATATGTGTGTGTGTGTTTTTTTTTTTTTGGGGGGGGGGCTTCTAGGTTTTCCATGGCCAGTGCTACTATTTGCTTAAGAACCCTTCCCCCAAACAACACAAGATGACAATCCCTATGTTGCCCTTGGAAGACTTTTTTTTTCTCTCCGGGGGGGGGGGGGGGGGGGTTTTTCAGGAAATAGAAAGGGTTTTGGCTCTGGGGCTTTGGAGCTTTTGGGGGGGCTTTTAGGGCTTCAGGGCGGCTTTAGGGCTTCTTCAGGGCTTTAGGGCAAGTCGAAGGTTTCAGGGAGATTTCGGCTTTCAGGTGTGGAGTGTTTTCTTGTGGTCTTTTGGGAATCAGGCTGAGATTTAAGGGTCCTTCAGGGCTTTTTTTGTGGTTTGCGGTTTAAGGGTTAGGGTTTTGCGGCTTCACGGTTGGTTATGTGGCTTCAGCGCTCGAGGCTTGTTTTGGAGTTAGAGGTCAGGGTTTAGGGGCTTAGGTTTTTCGGGTTTTGGGGGTTACGGGCTTAGATTTTTTGGTTTTCAGAAGTTCGGCGTTCAGCGTTTGTGGCTATAGGTTTGAGGTTGGGGTTGTAGGGTTGAGTCACGCCTCGGACGTCGCGTACGTCGGCCGTTGTGGTCTCTATGATCAGATTTCCCGGAGTCCGAATTCTTCAGGGTACCAACAAGGCTCCAAAACCCGCGACCCCAAACCCGGGATTCCAAAGAGAAACCGCAGGCCCCGGAATGGAGTGATCTCAAGTTCTTGGATGCACGGCTTGAAGCAGTAGTTTTTGTCAGGTCTCTCTTTTTGTGAGAAGGGTTCTCAAGCCGAGGCGCCGATGTCCGCTCCACGCCTGCTTCTTTCCTTCTGCCTACCCAAGACCTTCTCAAGACCCTAGATCCTGCACCCAATGCAGTTCTGCCAGACGCCTGACCACTTCCAGAACAAACAAACCTTCACTGCCTGCGACGTACATTATAAGGGTCCGAATCCTACACTTCCAGGCATCAAGCCTTCCCATCGAGTTTGACAAACCACCACCATGCACAGCGCACACTTGCGTTGTGCTCTTTCGGCTTGCGGCCACCCTAAACCCTAAACCCTCATCCCCAAGCCCTAAACCCTAAACCCTAAACCCTAAACCCTAAACCCTAAGTTGGCCATTCTTTGAGGAAACGATGATTTGGGATCGTGACGACCATAAAGACTTGCACATGGACCAGCGCATGGTGGAGAAGAGGCAATCTGTGCTCAGGACGGTGGTGCAAGTGCCTGGGCTAACTGCGCGTTTCCATGTGTGTGGCCCTCTTCCTGAACATAGTAGGTTTAGGGTTTAGGGTTTAGGGTTTAGGGTTTAGGGTTTAGGGTTTAGGGTTTAGGTTTTAGGGTTAAGGTTTGGGGTTTAGGGTTTAGGGTTTAGGGTTTAGGGCTACTTGAAGCGTTAGTTATAGGTAGGGTTATAAGTACCCTAAGCAAGGTCTTGAGCAGATACAACTAGAGTTCCCGCACTTACAACCCTACTTATACTTACCCCCCTGAACCTTCAAGTAGCCCTAAACCCTAAACCCTAAACCCCTAAACCCTAAACCCTAAACCCTAAACCCTAAACCCTAAACCCTAAACCCTAAACCCTAAACCCTAAACCCTAAACCCCTAAACCCTAAACCCCTAAACCCGAAACCCCTAAACCCTAAACCCTAAGCCCTCCGAACCCCTACGCCGATGTCCCTGCATGGGTTCCCCCGTGGGGGTTTACGAGCATAGGGGGTACCTTACCTAGGGGTCCGTATTATAAGGGAATCCTACTATTTGTTTTTTTTTTGAGGGCCCCTATGTTCGTAAACCCCAATTTGGGGCAGAACTGGCCACGTCTTGGAAGTTTTGTGACTACGTAGCCCCGAAGCTTGCAAACCCGTGCCACTTCTCTTTGCTGCGGTTTAGGATATAGGGTTTAGGGTTTTAGGGTTTAGGGTGTAGGGTAAGGTTTGCCAAGCTGTTTGCCGTGAAGTTCATGCAATTGGATCATCGGCAAGAGGCACGGACTTGCCCTGCTCGGACATTGATCTGGTGTGCCTATCCGATAGACCCGATGATAAGATGACGACGCAGGCCCGGCACTTGGAAGTCTATCTCAGCTGGGGTATACGGGTTTAGGGTTTAGGGTTTAGGGTTTACCTGTTTTTGTTCACGCTCGAAGCTGTGGACATGTTTTGCACTCGTCGCGCCTTAACCTGAACCTTTTTGGAGGAAGTGCGATTCGAGAGCCTCCCAGTGGCGTACCCGGAACTGACCAATGTTCAACTCGGTATCCATACTTTCCCGCTGTCTCTAATGGATCATATTTTGGGGGGTGGGGGTCGCCATTCATCGAATTTCCAATCACCGGGGGGGGCGGGGGTGGGGCGGGGCTTCGCCATTCTTCGAATGAATCAATAATGGCCTTCAAATTGCCTTTGAAGCCGAAAAGAGGGGGGTGGGTGGCGACAGATGCGCGGTCGTTGCGTTCTTGTTCTAGATCACGGTTTGTATGAGCGAGCGTGTGAGTCCGTGAGGGACTGTGGAGTGTATGTTGTGGTTATCATGTTGGTGTGTGGTGGAGCGTGGCGTGCGGAGTGTGGAGAGTGGCGTATGGAGTGTTGTGGTGGTGACGGTGGTGGTCGTAGTGGTGTGCTGTGTGTCTAACCCATATTGGCGTGAATGCAGGCTAGCTTTCGTCGTCCTCGGCTGTGCCCCTCAAGCCTTGAAACTGACTCTAATGAGAATGAAGCAATTAGACCTCCCCGCCCTAATTTTACATCTTCCCAGTATAGTCTCTTATACTCTTTAGAGATTGTTCGACATAAGGGCGGCTCTCGGGGAGTGGGGTTTGTGCAGGTACTGGGAGCGGAGATTTGGGTTATTTACTCCCTCTGGCCTCTTGCGCCGCACCAGATCAGGTTGAGAAGGCTTTGAGAAACCTCTGCGCCTCTGTGGACAGGACACGCAGGGACTCCTTCATGGAGCTAAGAGGAGTTGCAGGTTCATCTGTTTGTACCAAGACTTGATTGTAAAACGTGTTTGTTACTGGCTGTCTTTCAAGAACTGGTAACCCATGGTAGCATACCCAATGTTGTTCTGGGATTGGAAGGGAAGACCCACATGCCGAAGTCGATGCAGGGGTTTCTTACGCCAGCAGAATCAACTGGCTGACCGGAGTAGTTCAGGGTTTGGGTGTGCGGCGTTGGGAACATGTTATAGGGTTCTTAAGGGAGGGGGCTTCAAGGGGGGTAGGTACCTAGGGAACCTCGGAAGCTTCGGGAGCCTTAGGGAGTAGTAGGGAGTACTAGGGAGTCTAGGGTTACATACCCCCCTTGAAACCCCCCTCCCTTAAGAACCCTATAAAACATGTCATCGCAAAAGGTCTAGGAACTAAGGCGTCTCTAGCCCAGTGGTGAAGGTTTTGAGGGGCCTAGGAAACCGTGCCTGGAAACCCGAACCCCTCTGAGTGTTCCGGCCATGTGCAGGAGAGACGACTACTTCAGTGATGACGAAGACGATGACTGGGGAACTTCGGCCCGATATCGCAACCTGGATGGGAAGTGGCGGGCCCCTGCTGGAGAGCAGCACGAAATCGCAGGCCTGTCTCGGGCATAGTCTCGCTTGTGCTCGGTGTGCAGTCGTAGGATGTCTGCCTCCTTGTTGTTTCTTCATAGTAGGCCTGCTGTCCATATGATGGATGCAACCAAGCATGCTTCGTCCTGCATGACTTTTTCAGAGGCAATGTGTTGACATGGAGCACTGGAGAGAAGACCAAGTTTGAGCGCGGCTGTCTTCACCTTAGCTTTTGGCATCAAGACCGATTGAAACGAGCTAAAGTGAAGGCCACTACGCTCGAGTGGTCTACGGGTGAGGTGTGGCGCAGGGTCATTAAGGTGAAGCACATGGCCACAAAGTGGCCAAATCCACCCCCAAAGCCGAGATCCATGAGCACTGTGGATGTGATGGAGCTTCGTTACGCTTCAGACACCATTAGCCGCAAGTTCCAGGATGGAAGGTCTCTGCATCAACTTGTCCACCAGCTTCATGAAGGACATGTGGATCCGTTGAAGCATCCTGATCTGATCCTGGATGCGGTTTCCTGGATCTGCCCACTTGGTGGGGATGTGCTACACTGTCTGAACAATCGGAGATTATGGTGTCTTAAGCATTGGGTGCTGACAACCGGACGCCTTGCGACAAAGGTCGTGGTTCGCATCTACCATTTTGGTGACAGCCCTGCTTTCTTCGAGTCTCGCATTACAACTCCGAATGGCGGACAGAAGGTATTCTTCCGCGAGGCGGACGATGACGACCACGACCCTAGCAATAGACTTCCTCAGCGGATGATGGTATCAAGTACCAGAGCCGAGTACATCCATCTGGCATCTAGCCCGACATGAAATAGTGATTGTCTGGACCACTTGACTTTTTGCATCGCGTTCGTCGTGAACATGTAGCTGTCGCCCTAAAGCCCCAAACCTTAAGAAGGCTCTCAACCAATTTCGCCCCGTCTGCCAGCCCCCGCTTCAATGGTCAGGTTTGCGACGGTGTTCACGTGGACATCCTGACTGGAACCAAGTGGGCCGACTCAGATGCCACCAAACTGGTTCCTTGGATCTTGGCAGAGGACTTTGGCGCCCGCCAGCAATGGTCTGCACAGATCAGTGCCTGGCACGCCAGGCAGCAAACCGGGAATGCAGCCAGCATGATTGCTGCCAAGTTGGCTAAGTTGTGGGTACGAAAGGTTGCGTTTCCTCTGTGGAACGCTCTCTTGCGCCCACGCGGTTTCATGATCGAGATGATCGTCAAGCACGTGTGTGAGTCAAACCGCCGTGCAGAAAGGTCTGGCTGGGATGGGTTTGTGGAGTTCTTGCGTTTCTGCAGCACGGAACCGATGGAGCCTATAATGTGGGAGTGGCGCAACTACTGCGACCACCCCCGCATCAACTGGGGAAGCGGCCCACGAGTACTTGATCCTCTCAATCCCACGAACAACCTCGCGCGTCAGTTCCGTTTCTGGGAAGACCTCCACAAGCTGGCCAAGGAATCGCTCGAAAGGATCATGCATGTCTCTTCGAGCAAATCCTATCGAGATTGGTGGGGCGGCAGTGCCACACCGGAGCCAGAAGTCGGACCTGCGGCAGACATGCAAGAAGTTCGGCGCGCGCTAGCCGCGCTCGACATCCCCTCTCGCAGCATTGAGGCCCTGCTTGACGAGACGTGGCATGGCTTCACATCCCTGGAGTTCTTGTGCAAGTACGCAAAGGAGCAAGATCTCGAGGATGTTGGGCTGAACACTGTTCAGCGCAGGAGGTTGATGGAGGCAATTCAGGCAGGAGGGATCATCTTCGGCAAGTTGCGGGACGAGGGCCGCTTGCCTCAGACGGCCACGGAGGACTCACGCTACCAGGAGCCTCCCGCGGCGGAATCATGCAACGAGGAGCCTCCGAAGCAGAAGCTCGCACTTGCTTTTTGGGAACGTGTTTCCTTCTAAGAGTTGTCGTCGATATCAGTATGATATCAGCACAGGACAGCGCAAGCAACAGCAACAGGCTGGAAAATCCACAACTCCTGAAGAGCTATCAAGGAACCGGGAGGGCAGGGCTAGCCGGTGGAATCGCTTCAGCACGCGCTCCGACGCCCCGAGCTCCGAAGCCCCGTGTTCCCATACGAGCAGCTCTTCGCTGATCAGTTGCCCTTCTCCTCACATCACGCAGGGGCGCTGCTTCATTCCCGGCACGCTCCTGCCCCTGGCAGGAGGGCTCAATCGAGTTGAGCACCTTCATCGCACAGATGTGGTGCGTGGCCAGAGTGGCAAGCTGCTAAGGGTTGAGCGGGTTGTCACGCACGAGAAGGAGCGGCGCTTCCTTGTGACACTTCAAACAGCAGATGCCAGCCTCAAGGTGACAGACTCCCATCGAGTAATGGTGACCGGGCACCTTTTTATCAGAGTTCTCCTTGTTCCCCTGCTATTCTTTGCGGTACTCAAGTAACAGCATGGCTGCCCTGAAAACCTGTGTCTGGCTCTGAGAGGTCATGGATGGCAGGCATGAGACAGTCCGAAGGGCCTCAGAACTTCGAGCTGGTGATCGCGTCAGCTGCGCACAAGGTCCCATGGGCTCCAGGATGTAGGGTTCAGGGTTAGGTTTAGGGTTTAGGGTTTAGGGTTTAGGGTTTAGGGTTTAGGGTTTAGGGTTTAGGGTTTAGGGTTTAGGGTTTAGGGTTTAGGGTTTAGGGTTTAGGGTTTAGGTTTAGGTTTAGGGTTTAGGGTTTAGGGTTTAGGGTTTAGGCTTTAGGGTTTAGGGTTTAGGGTTTAGGGTTCTGAGTTTTGGGCTCAGAGCTCCACACCCTCAATGAAGGAGTGCACCTTGAGCAAGAGGGGTTTTCATGATGATGCCAGGTATTCTAATGGACTTGCAGAAGGGTCTCTGCTTCCCAAGACCCCAAAACACTAAGCTCTAAACGCTAAAGACCCTATAAGCCCCAGAAAACCCCAAACCCTAAGAACACAAACACTTAGACCCTAAACCCTAGACCCTAAATCACCCTAAGCCCCACGCATCAAGCTGTCTTGGGCAAGGTCCCAGTGAGCTTCTCCGCGTCCATCGGACGTGGGAGGACACGGAGGTCGTGGAGGCCGCAGCAGCGGTCTAGGGTTTAGGGTTTAGGGTTTAGGGTTTAAGGATTAGGGCTTAGGGCTTGGGGCTTAGGGCTCAGGGCTTAGGGCTTAGGGCTTCGGGTTTAGGGTTTAGGCTTTAGGGGTTAGGGTTTAGGGTTGGGGTGTCCCATCGAGGGGCGTGCTGGTGCCAAAAGCAGGCAGGCCTGCAAGTCTCGGGTTTGGGGCTCGGGGTCGGCTCGATACGCCTCGAGCCCTTGGAAGAGCCTCGCGAAGGACCATCACGTATTAGGTTAGACTTTGGGAACTGCCGCGAGAGTCCTTGGAAGGTCAAATAGCTGCGGACAGGGAAGGCGCTGTTCGAAGGCTCTGGATCTCGCATTTGCGTTGGGGGTTGGTCTCGACGCGCCTCCTGTCCTCGGCAAGCCACGCTTCAGGGGCGATGCACATCAGGTTGCGCTTGTGGATTGGAGCCTTGGATCGTTCAGGCCTCACGCCTTGGATGCCCCCCTGGCAAGTTGTTGCGAAGCCCTCCTTCCGGGATGCAAGTCCCTGGCTGGGACAAGCGTTTTTGCAAGGGCTGAAGGCCTTCGAAAGGCCTGTCGAGGGCCAAGGCCCTGGAAGCCTTCGGGAAGGCCAAGGGACCCGCCCGGAGTTCCTCGTGTGCCAGCTTCGGTGCATTCACCAATGTTCGACGGCTCCGGGGTTTAGGGTTAGGGTCTAGGGGCTAGGGTTAAACAGTCAAACCCTTTAAACCCTGATCCCTATTTTAGTTAAGGGTGTGTTCCCTGGCTATGGGGTGTTCGGGCTCTTGTTGGGCCCCTGGCGCAAGAAACCCATCCAACAATCAAGCGAAGATTCCTTAAGTCAGATATTCCTATTACAATACGGCCGTATAGACTCTAGACCTAAACCCTGCACCTTCAACCCTAACCCTAAACCGTAAACCCTAAACCCTACACCCGAATCCGACCCGGAGCCCCAAACGCCAAACTCAAACTTCTAAAAAAACATCCTGGTCCTTTGTGGCTTCTGGAGCTTGCGGAGCTTCGGGTCGGATTCGGGTTTAGGTTTAGGGTTCAGGGTTCAGAGTTCAGGGTTCAGGGTTTAGGGTTTATAGGGTTTATAGGGTTTATAGGGTTTATAGGGTTTATAGGGTTTATAGGGTTTATAGGGTTTATAGGGTTTATAGGTTTTATAGGGTTTATAGGGTTTATAGGGTTTATAGGGTTTATAGGGTTTATAGGGTTTATAGGGTTTATAGGGTTTATAGGGTTTATAGGGTTTATAGGGTTTAGGGTTTAGGGTCTAGGGTTAGGGTTTAAGGTGTAGGGTTTAGGACAACTTGCAACCTGCAGAGGTCGTTCTCAGCCCTGACGAGCCCTTCGAGTCTTATCCGCCTCTTGCGGACAGCATCTTCTCAAAGGGTCAGGCGCTCCGGGGAGTACTTGAAGGTTCATGGGTAGTTAGAAGTAGAGTTATACGTACCCTAAACAAGATTATATCTGGCAGACCAGTTGCACTAGCCCCTTCAGCCTCAGAAGCCTGAGTTCGGTGTAGGATCTGGTTCCTGAAGCCCAAAACCCATAAACCCTTTCCTCCTGACCGTCCTCGCAGGAGGCAGAGCCAGACGCTTCTGCACGGCAAGGGCGCAGGCTGCACTCAGTGTTTGTGTTTGGGAGACTTCTAGCTTGAACCCGTGTTGATCAAAGCCTATAAGCCTGCAAGCGGGTTTAGCTTTAGGGAGCACCTTGCGATTCGGGTCGGGGCATCAGCAAGCCAAGGCCAACAGCTGCGAGAAACTCCCGAGCTAAACCCACGCTCCCGCAACAACACCCTGAACTCTAAAGCCTGTACCCAGGCCCTGAACCGTAAACCCCAAACCCTAAAACCTAAACCTTAAACCCTGCACCCTAAACCCTAGGCTCCTAAACTCCCAGACTCCCATACTCCCAGATTACCAGACTCCACCTACTCGAACTTTAAAAGCAGAAGTCCGCCCAATCCTGGGAGAGGGTTTGGGGTTTCGGGCTTGGGGTTTGGGGTTGAGGGTTTAGAGTCTCGGGGGTTTAGGTTTGATGCTACTTGAAGGCTCAATTGCGCATCTTCGTAGGGTTAGAGGCAGCTTACCTGCACATGCAACCCCAATCTCACCTTTCACCCTACCAACAACGACCCGCGAACCTTCAAATAACCCCTAAGCTCTTAGACTCCCAAACTCTAGACCCTAAACCCCAAACCTCAACCCCAAACCCCAAACCCCAAACCCCAAACCCCAAACCCCAAACCCCAAACCCCAAACCCCAAAACCCAAAACCCAAAACCCAAACCCCAAACCCCAAACCCCAAACCCCAAACCCCAAACCCTAAACCTTGCAAACCCTAAACCCTATGAGCCTAAACCCTCTGAGCCCACAGCCCTGCTAGGACGCGGCGCTCCGGACAGAACGTCCGTGACGCGCACGCTCAGGCAAATCGAACTCGCCAAGCCTGGCCTGGCTCCGACTGGTGGCTTCAGGGCTTGTGGGGTTTAGGGTTTAGGGTTTAGGGTTTAGGGTTTAGGGTTTAGGGTTTAGGGTTTGCAAGTTTCAGGGCTTAGGCTTTGTAAGGTTTAGGGTTTAGGGTTTGTAAAGGTTCGGGTTTAGGGCTTGGGGCTTAGGAGTGTTGAGGGGTTTTGAGTGTTGAAGATTTGGGCTACGCTGGGCCTGGACTTTGCCAAGGTGTGGGATCTTGAAAGCCTGAAAGCCTAAACCCCAAACCCGAGACGCTCATAAATCTCCAAACCCTGCAAAACCTACGCCCTGAACCCTTAATTAACTTGCGGAATCCTAGACGACCCCCACCCGGCCCCTCAGCACAACAAGGCGAAAAGAATGCTTTGTAAAGGGTTTTTAATGCTTTGTAAAGGGTTTTTGTGGGCGAGGCAAAGTAGTACAGGCTCTGCACTGAACCCTTCAAGCCCTCGCCGAAGGTGGTCTGCTGAATCTACTTGGAGATCCGAGGATCACTACTCCCATGTGGACACAGACTGGGGGAGTGGCGTGGCAGGGTTTGGCTTTCGGGCTTGAGGGCACTTGCGCTGGCTTTTGGTGCTGTGAAGTAGGGTTCAGAGCTAGAACGCCAAGGGTGCGATGGAGGGACCAGATGGCGTAGGATCTGTTTTTTGACTTCAGGGCTCAGCCAGATATCGTGACCGAGATCTGCCGTTGCTTTGGGTTGTCGTTGCTGACGCCCGCTTTCGTTCTGTTCGGGTTGCTCCACGTCGGTCTCTTTGCTTGCTCCTGCGAGGCATGCCAGTTGAGCATTTTCGTCTAAGCTTTAATCTCAGTTGTTAACTTCGGGGCTGGGTGGCCTTCAACCTTTTTGGTTGTACATAGTCCTGTTACAAAAAGAAGGTAACCTTTTTTGGGCTAGGGTATTCAGCCCTAAGTTAACACGTTTCGAAGGGGACAATTGGGGCCTAAGTAATTAGAATAGGGTGTTGGGGGCTGTTAAAGTTATAGTCTAATCATAAAGGGACCATAAGGGAATACTATTGGTATTTACTCCGACCCCCATATTCTGCCCGCGGGTTGGTGCATCCTCTTGAATGAACAAAGGGTTGCTGCACCCCACCCAGGCTGGTATTGAAGGACAAGGCCGGGATGTCCTGGATCGAGGTTTAGGGTGTGCGGTATAGGGTTTAGGGTTTAGGGTTTAGGGTTTAGGGCTTAGGGTTTAGGGTTTAGGGTTTAGGGCTTAGGGTTTAGGGTTTAGGGTAATTCTGAATATTGAACCCTACGTTGCAGCAGGCACCTTGATGAAGATGCATCCGCTCGGAATTTGCTGCTCCCTTTCCAAGGGAGAGCCCGGTGGCTTTCCCATCGTCTTCCGACATTCCCAACACATCACCCCTGAACCCTTAACCCCTAAACCCTAACCCGTAAACCTCGTTCCTCCAGTCTTTTAGGGCGCACGCTCGTGGATGATCGGCCCGGAAATTCGAAGTTTAAGAAACCCATGAGCTCCTCCTCCTCGCTGCTGCCTTTTGCCATGAGGGTTGACCCTAAACTTGGAGTTTATGGGGTTCATTGGCTTTTATGGGGTTGATCGTGTGTAAGTTCGCGTTAGCAGAGGCCGCCCGCCCATTTTGGGGGTTGTCCCCTGAACCCTTATGGCCCCTTATGGCCCCAAGGAACACCCGAAACTCTAAACCCTAAACCCCAAACCCTAAACCATAAACCCTAAACCCTAAACCCTAAACCCCTAAACCCCTAAACCCCTAAACCCCTAGACCCCTAAACCCCTAAACCCCTAAACCTCTAAACCCCTAAACCCCTAAACCCCTAAACTCTAAACACACTAAGCACTTGCAGGCTCGCGTGGCAGTGAGGCAAG